TCGTTTCACCATATAGTTCAGCAGCATCGTGAGTCTATTCTATCATTAGTCTATGTAATACCCACTATGACAACGGTAGTGAAAAATCATTCTTACTGTTTGTTTAAGATCATATTAGCAGTGATAAGGCCAAATAGAATATACATATCACCTATATTAATGAGCATAGTTATATGTACTTTGATGTGATATATATAAGAGTTAATAAAAAGTAATCTATAGAAAAAAATAAATAAAATGGAGCAGAAAAGACAGATTTTATATACTTTCTCTCTTATACAAACATGAAAGAGAAGCTCTTTACATTCTACGATTGTTACGTTTGTTACGTTTGCTACGATCATAATTTTGACGGCTTCCCTAAACACTGTCGTTTGATTATCATCACTCTCTTTGTTTTTTAGGGTTTTGTGGTTGCATTATTTTTAGTAAATGGTGAGCATCATAATGCACAGGCTTCAAATACAACTGGTCATCGTGGTCATGGCGGAGTTGTTGCAGATGATCAGAAAAGAGCCGCATTACCCACACATTTAAACGAAGCACATCATGCTCATAATGCTCATGATAGTAGTGACAGTAATCATACATATCATGATCAACAACAGTTGCATATAGCAGCAACAGGAAATCATACGGCAGAGAGCGAAGGTGTACTAAGTGAAGGTGTACCGCAACATCATAAAGGAAGAAATCGTAAGTTATCTCGTTTGCTGAGCTTCTTTTTGTTCTGTGTACATTTTTTATGATCTCAGAAATTTTATGGCTAATAGAGAGATTCGCCATTCTGCAAAACGGTTTTGCAGAGTTTGCAGTCTATAAGCTCCAAAAGTGATGTGAAAATAGTTTTTATTCGGTTTTTGACTGTTTTCATTTCTATTTTATTTTGAGTCCTAGTGGAAATGGGTATGTGAAAATAGATCTGTCGACGTGCGAGCAACTTCTGTGTGTTCCATATCTGTGACGTTAATCGTCGTCGTCTTCGTTCTGAGTGTTTTTATTTGATTCTTTTTAAAATTTTTCTGTTATTCAAGACACCAGTGGTACTGTTCATCGTCACAACTGATCATCACGATTATGATATACGGACACTTCAGTTCACAAAGCTTATTACTACATTACACTCGTACATCAACCAGCTACCAATTTATTCGTAATTCTTGCTTGTTATTTTAATCAGCTGCTATTTTATGCAAAGAAATAGAAATAAATACTTAAGTTATTAAAATAAAGCGATTTTTCATTTCAACAATCATGAAAAACATTATCTTCAGGAAATACCCAATACATATTTAATCTTTTGTTGTGTTAGAGCTTTTTAAATCTTCTTTTATTGTACATAAATAATTTTGTAGAAAAATTTGCGTCTTCGTGGACCAATGGATATAAGGGCTGCAAGGTGTACAAACACATTTTTCATTCATACTTTGTTTTTCGTTTTAAACTTTCACGGCAAAAATGCATTTGTTCTTAATCGTTCATACACTATATCTACTTTTTAAGGTGCACCGACTCTTTCACGAACTTTTCCCACGAATTCACCCTTCCGAGAATGAAATTCTTTTTTCACTCACTCTCATGCTGCTTACTGCCACCACATTTCAGTTGGCAGAACAGTCGTTTCGCCGAAAAGTCGATTCGCGGAAGAGTTGTGTCACGACTTTTTGATGGTAAGTTCAATTGACCACTTGCTTCTGAGATGCAGACTTAAACTTGCCTTTTTGTTACAATAACTCTATCACCAGGGCCAGTACAGATTAGTTCACAATCATCGTCAACTAGACTTAAATTATATAAAGTGTTTATAAACGACGAAATGTTGATAACGATTTTGGTTTTGTTTCAAGGATGATGATTTTATCTATGTATCAAATTTAAATGAAGTATTTCATGTTATACGAGATACATTGTTTAAGATTACATTTCAAGCGGCAAATTATCAGGATAATAATGAATTTGTTAGATTATGGTAAACGATTATTTAATTTTGGATAATCATCTTTTACCGAATACAAATTAAAGATGAGTTTTGGTACAACCAGATTTCAACTCGACGAGATTGGAGGGTATTTTTATGGAAATGCAATAACTCGTGTGTTTGCTACGCGTATAACAATGATATATCTTCCATCAGTTACTTACACATTCAATGTTGGTGTACAAGGCGAGAGTTCATAAGGTCGCCTAATTGGTAGTGTGGTAACATATGAATTAACACAATTTGATAATGATCCAAACCTGGGAGATTTAAAATTAGCGAAATTTCCATAAACCAAAAATATGTCAGACTAGTAACTTGCATTCCAGTTTGAGCCATATTCGTTCCCGAATGTGGTTATCACAAAGATTTTCATGCCTATTTTGAATATTTTTCACAAATACAAAATAAACTCACTACAGCAGAGATTTTTTACATTTTTTTAACTATGTAATATAAACATCTACACCATGAATATCCCTAGTAGCCTAAATGCTAAAAAAAGGTGAAAAAGGTAGTGACTTGTATAAAAAAAACGTGAATCACATATATATATTTGTAAAACTTTGATACCGTGCTGAACGTTGAATTGAATAAAATTCTTTTTAGCTGCTGGACTGAGGTATTCGAAATATGAATTAAATAATTAAATTTCGCAATTGGTCGAAGACGCACACAGTCAGTTCAAAACATTACACTGGTTTGTCAGTTCTGTTTAGTTTCACTGCTTAAACCCGAGCTTAATTTCTTTATTTTTTCATCTCCTTTTCTGTATGCTGGTGTCGTTTTCCGATGTCGTTGTCGTCAGAATGAAAAACCGAAAACTGACTTCATTTTTTTACAATTATTTTTAACTGAATAAAAAGATGAGTAGGTGTTATCTATATCTGTAACAGTTCCAGCTCATAAGTTCAGCTCATTTGAGCGAAAGAAGTGTTGAACAGTTCTTTCGAAAAGAGCTGATATGTTTGAACAGTTGTTTTGAATTTTTAAGAATTGAAATTTTTTGAAATTTTTTCATCGACTACTGCTAAACCTTTCACGATGAAGCAAGAGCTTGCTCAACTCGAAGCACGGGAGAAGAACGGTCATACATTTGCGTCATTCTGGAGAAAACATTCAACTTTACTACCAATATTGAACCAGATGGCACGTCGATTCGGTCCTATATCGGCGACCTCAGTCCCCAGTGAGAGCGCATTCTCAATCGCAGGCTATGTTGCTCGAAAAACACGGTCTTCTCTCTCAGCTAAAAACTTGAAATATTCAATGTTCCTAAAAGATAAAGTTTAATCTTTTCTTT